TGAGAGCACCACGGCTGTGTGCAGTGCTCCAGGTGGGGAGGAGAGCCACCACCAACCACCTCCAGCAGCCCTGGATGTGGTTCCTTTTCCCCAGGAGCAGCAGTGTCTGCAGTCAGGATTCACCACTGGATTCCAGTGCATCCCATTTTGGGGATACACTGTTCAAATTCCCTGAGCAATTTGGTTTCTGAATGCTCCTGGCCATCCTCTGAGTGTGGCATGCACCAGTGGGGGGGACAGGACTGAAGCTTTAGGAACATTTTCCCAATAAAAACTCAGGGATGGGAGCGTGGTTAGGGAAAAACTCATTTACTGTGTCCCTGCTGCTGCTGCTCCTCAGGAGGAGAACGAAGTCACCGAGTTCTTTGTCACCCTGGAGAAAGATCCCCAGCAGGAAGATTTCCTGCAGGGCAGGATGCCAGGGAATCCCTACAGCAGCAACGAGCCTGGCATCGGGCCTCTGATGAGGGACATCAAGAACAAGATCTGCCAGGACTGTGACCTGGTGGCTCTGCTGGAGGACGACAGCGGGATGGAGGTGAGGATCTCTGGAGGTGGGGATTTCTTGCACAGACCTGTGGGACGCTGGTTTTGGGCAGCTTGGGGGTGGTGATGTAACAACCTGAGCTTGTTCTTGACTTGTTCTTGTGTCTCTTTCAGCTTTTGGTGAACAACAAGATCATCAGTCTGGATCTGCCTGTGGCTGAGGTCTACAAGAAGGTGTGGTGTCCCACAAACGAGGTGTGTGTTACCTTTGGACAAGTTTAACATCAACAAAAGGGGGAAAAAAAAATGGAGAAAATTGAAAATCACACGAGTCAGGATTTATTTCCTGGCATATAATTTATTGGGTGTAACTGCTCAGCGCTTTTTGGTGCTGTGTTAGGACAGATTGTGCATGGCCCTGCAACGTGAGCGATTGCAGAGCACTGCCCCAGGTGAGCTGTGTCACTCTTGGGGAGGAAAAACCTTCCCTGTGTTCCCCTGGGGAGAGCTGAACGTTGTCAGAGCCTTTCAGAGCACATTTCACACCCTTATCTGCACACCAGAGTTTTGTCTGTGTACACACAGGCACACCAGATTGCTCTGATTGCTTCCAGGGTGAACCCAAGGGAGTTCAGCATCTCCATTTTTCCCTCCTTCTCTCTTGTTTCTCATCAGGATCTCAAGCATTTGGCAAATCCATCCTCCCACTTTGCTCCCTGTAGAGTTTTGTGTGTTTTTCACATGAGAAAAATGGACCCAGCAGTTTTAAGGGTCCAGCCCACCGTGTCTGGTCCAGAACAAGCTCTTCCCTTCTTTCCTAAAATAAACTCACACTGACACCATCAGGCTCAAGCTTCCCCACTACAAATATATTTTTAGAGGTCCCTGAGATCATAAAACAAGGCTGATTTTCCCCAGCATTTCATGGTCACTCAGCATTAAAGTGCCTGTGAGCAGTGAATGACAATAAAACATGTCTCATTAATCTTCATTTCAGTAACAAAACCCTCAGTGCTACAAAATCAAACCTTGTGACAGTGATAATTTGAGTTGGAAAGGGAGGTGAGGAGCTGGTGTTAATCTGATATTTTGAGGTGGAGGTGAGGAGCTGCTGTTAATCTGATATTTTGACTTGGAGGTGAGGAGCTGGTGTTAATCTGATATTTTGAGTTGGAGTTGAGGTGCTGGTGTTAATCTGATATTTTGGCTTGGAAAGGGAGGTGAGGAGCTGGTGTTAATCTGATATTTTGGCTTGGAAAGGGAGGTGAGGAGCTGCTGTTAATCTGATACTTTGAGGTGGAAAGGGAGGTGAGGAGCTGCTGTTAATCTGATACTTTGAGGTGGAAAGGGAGGTGAGGAGCTGGTGTTAATCTGATATTCTGGCTTGGAGGTGAGGAGCTGGTGTTAATCTGATATTCTGGCTTGGAGGTGAGGAGCTGCTGTTAATCTGATACTTTGAGGTGGAAAGGGAGGTGAGGAGCTGCTGTTAATCTGATATTTTGGCTTGGAAAGGGAGGTGAGGAGCTGGTGTTAATCTGATATTCTGGCTTGGAGGTGAGGAGCTGGTGTTAATCTGATATTCTGGCTTGGAGGTGAGGAGCTGCTGTTAATCTGATACTTTGAGGTGGAAAGGGAGGTGAGGAGCTGCTGTTAATCTGATATTTTGAGGTGGAAAGGGCTGGTGTTAATCTGAATTCTGATTTGAATTGCGATGGAGTCACCGGT